CACACACACACACACACACACACACACACACACACACACACACACACTTTATCTTCCTCGGCAGGAAATGGAAGACGAAATTGAAAAGGAGAAAATAGGACAGAATTATGTTCTTGCTTTTTTTATTATACATTTAACTAAATATGCCACTCTATGCTAAGGTGTAAGTAACTCAAACTGATATAAGGTTAAATAATTTCTTTTCTCTACAAAGGTACAGAAAGATATTCCATTTCTTCCATTTCTCATTAGCACACAAAGAAAACAACAAAAGGAACAAAGTTTTCCAAAATATGAAAATCGGAACCAGAGCTCCCTTTCTGCTCGTCTGTGTTCTCATTGGATAAGAGCAGGGGGGTGCAGGGAGGAGGAACAGTAACTGGTGCGTGAGGATTAGCATAGTTCAGTGGTCTGCTCACCTCCACCCAAAGTTCATTTGCAAATTAAATTAAATTAAAGGACGCCGACAGATTTTCCCGACGTTTCGTGTTTCTCCAAATTGAAAAACCAAAAATATACAATTCATCAAATTGCATTTTGCTGTGATGCTGCAAAGTTCATTATTAATAGAGAGTCAGTACCTGTATTTAAGAAATCACAACTTGTACTTTGAATGCGTCTACAATGTGTGATTAAATTATATTTGATATTGGTAGAACACACCTTTAGGAGAGGAAGGAAGAGAGGCGTGAACAATATGCACAGCACAAAGTCCTGCGTGGGCTGATGAAGAGCGGGGGGGGCGGGCAAAGAATAAATTAGAAAAGGAACCCACTCGATTTAAGAACCCGAGGCGTCATCACTGGAGAAGAGTCGGATTAATTCAGTGAACGCTCACTCGCAGAAATGACGCAATCAATGTGAAAAGGAAATTATAACATTTCAAGAACTATGTTCCCCCAATGAATGAAAATGAAGTGACACCTAGTCCCTCCCACAAAACACAGAATAAGAAATAAATTATAGAACAATTTAAAGGAGAGTGTACTTTAAGGTTAACACTCCTGACTGCTCGTTCACAGCCACAGAGACACTCGGGGGTGAACTTTGCTTCTTTAAATGACTGAATGGCGTTTTGGGGCGAAGGACGCGTTCCTCTTCACGTAAAACAACGGCACTACTCTGTAAGTGGAAAAGGGGGGAGGGGGGGGGGGGGGGGGTGGTACACAGAGGGTTCATCCGAGGGGGGTTCTTGTCCATCAAGTGTGGTTTTCATTGGATGTTTATGTCAACAGTCCGTGTGAGCAGAGGCAGGGATTGGCTGTATTGTCCTCCACGACACCGTGGTCCAGCAGTAAAAACAGAGCTGATCACCAGAATCACAGCAGCCTCACCGCACTCAAACACACCGATGCTGGTACCATGCACGGGCGAAACACGGCCAGTGATGCTGCACGTGGACCTAAATGTAGGTGGAAGAGAAAAGAATACAATAGAAGAAGAAGAAGAAGAAGAAGAAGAGGAAGGCGGGGTTACAGGTTTGATACTCCAACCCCGGTATGATGACCTGAGGAGTGGTCGAGGGATAGAGCCGCGACCAAGAGAGGGACAAAAAAAAGATTACGCTGTCGAGTGAGAATCCAAACGGATCAGTTCAGCCAAACGCTTCTGTTCACTTTCCATGAATGAAGAAAGAAAAAAAGGGAGCGCGAGCAAAGAGGAGGAAACGTGCATAATGTACGACTGACTGGATGAGTCTCTGCGGCGCCCTTGATGGGGATGGGGGGGGGGGTTGGGTTAAGGCTGTGTGTGTGAACATGCGATACTGAACGTGGCCCCTGCACAACAGCCAGCGGGGCCCCCCGAGCGGGTCGGTCCGACGCAGGAAGTCAGGACATCAACAGGCCGGCGTCAGAGCTCAGATTCAGAATCGTCGGCGTCAGATGCAGGATGTTACCACCGCGCTCCCTCCTCCTCCTCCTCCTCCTCCTCCTCCTCCTCCTCCCTCCCTCCCTTCCTCCCACCACCCCATTTGTCATTCCTCCTCCTCCTCCTCTTTGTAAGCGCCTCATCTCTTAACTGGATGGCCGGTGGCGGTGCGGCCAATCAGGAGCACTCCTCCCCGATGCGTTGGCACGAGCGGCCCACCTTGCGGTCCAGCTTCACCATCTTGAGGACGGCCTCCTCGCGCCCGCGGCCCAGATGGTCGAACAGGCAGTCGTGCTGCTCGGGGAGACGGTGCAGCATGCAGAACACGTAGCCTGGGGGGGAGGGGGGGAGAAAAGAGAGGGGTGAGGGGAGGAGCAATTTGGTTTGCAATATGCGTCAATGTCTGCGTTTCATAAAATACACACATCAGTGCTTGACAGCTTATTTCGACACCAAACATGTGAAACATATCTACATACCACAGCGACAGGAGCCCAGTTCCTGCTGCACCAGCTCTAGTTTGGTTTGGCAGCGGTAGCAGCGCCGGCGGTTCTTCTGCTTGGGCGTCCCGCGGGCCTCCTCGCCGTCATCCTCCTTCTCGTCCGTCCGCGGCCGTTTCTCCGGCGTCTCCTCGCTCTCCGAGCCCGACGCTGAAAGTAAAAAACGGCATGGGTTAGGATGGGGGTGGGGGGGTTGGGGGGGAGGGGTCACGCAGAGCCACTAGCGGGAGGAGCAGGAGGCCGACCGTACCTGCTGATTCTCGGGGACGTTTTGTGGGTGTGCAGAGTGTTCCTTGGGCTGTTTCTGTGGACGACGTTCCTGCAAACGGAAAACCAAGAGACACGTGAGACGGGATGTGAAGCGCTGTCTTCCCATGAATCCGTGTTACTGATTAATAAAATGCTCCCATGCTCCCTACTTCCCTTAGCTTGTTAGTGAAGACCGGTGACTGAAATGTCACATATATCAGGAACCTTGTTTTTTTATTTATGTCTGTGAGTGAAATTTAAAAGGTTACTTTACAAAGCAACTAAATCCCTTTGAAAGCCCAATAAAAACGACAGAATAAACATGGTTACAACAGTCATTGAACGTGTTATGAGGGGTTTTGTTTTCTTTCATGTGGACATCATGAAAACAGAAGAAGAAGAAGAAGAAAGCAGCGCGTGTTGTCCCGTCTCACCTTCCCTCGTGCTGATGAACGTGGGCGAGGGCTCTTCGGTGGGCGGCGGCTCGGAGCAAGAGGGCGGCGACGACAACGGGGATTGGCTACTGCTGCTGCTGCTCGTCTCGCTACTGAAGACCGCCGACTGGCTACTCCCGGTGCTTTGGATCGGCGTGGAGGTGCAGTCCTCCCCCGGCTGCTTCTTCTGGATGTCTGTGGTCAAGGACAGCGAGTAAGCGAGCGGGGAGAAATGTAAAAATAGGACAGAGGGGGGGCAGATACAGAGAGAAGGGGGAGGAAGAGGAAGGGAGACGGCACAGAAAGTGAGTCTAAGTGGTCAAATCTGTGTGTGGTACAGAAACAGTCTGTAATGACAAGTTATGTGTAGCGAGGCTGCAGAAAACACAGCACTGTAGCTACCAGGAGGACCAACACTGTGGACATTTTTACTTAATAAAGATGTACTTCTTAGTGTTGATTTTATGCTCTACTATTAACATTTATTTCCACTTTCAGAGGCTTGAAACGTGGATTAGGAGTTAGAGGATCCAGTGCATTAAGATCATTGAGCTGCTTCAGTGGGGATGTGGAGAACACACCAACACACTAACTGTGAATTAAGAAAACACGTGACTCAACCAGCCAGTCAGACTTCCTACGTCACATGCACGAGCTCTCTGTGTTTGGTTTGTCCGTCCTGGGCTTCTGTAGAAACATGGCGGACTCAGTGAAGAGGACCCACGCTGTGTGGATGCAACGTGCTCATGCTAAGCTAACGTAGGAACAACGATTCTTTGTTTCAGGTGATAATGGAAACATAGTTATGAATATTATATCTCATGTCTGCTAGTAAATCCCCCTAAATCCTGAACACCGGTCCTTTAAGAGACAGGCGTTAAAACGCAGCGCTTGATCAAACTGAAGGAGGTTTTGGAGAAAGACGCGGTCACCTTGGAGCCGCACGTCCGTCCTCTCCAACAGAATGATAATCTCAGACTGTATCCATCCATGGGGGATGTAGTCTACGTCTCCCCCTCCAGGGGAGGGTGAGGGAGGAGGTCAGCCTACATTTGGGTTTCTCCTCCACATGTGGACTAACCCACTTCTGCTCAGCCTCTGAGTATTGAGTCTATTCTGAGCGCCGCTGCCGTCTGTGATGCTCCAGACTCGGAGCCCTTGAGGTCCTTTCTGTCTGCCGGCCTCGCTGTCTCGCTTTACGTAAGCCTTGAACATCGCAATGGGGTGAGACTCTTATTTCCCAGAATGACTTCTTGGCATATTTAGCATTCTTCACTTATATCAGCTGGCACACCGAGCCTGAAGCCGCTGTGAGCTGCGTCTCTGGCTGTAAGCGGGGATATATATATAGATATATATATAGTTAAGAAACTTTTGATCCATAGAGGCCTTGTGTGTGTAAATCTCTCCTCAAGTAGAGAAAATACGATTTTGTGACGTCATCCCAACGTGAACACTAAGGGCAGGGCGGGACCTGAACGGGCTCTTGGAGTCCGGTATCCAGCTCTTATTATACATCCACGTGAGGCCGCGTTACACCCGGCAATATTGGGTTTTCATCAGCCGTAACTTAACAGGGCTCAGCTGTGCTGCAGCTCTGGTTTAGATGGAGACTTGAGGCCACCTCGGCATGCGGTCTGGCCGATTGGGATCGCAATGAGGGCAAGATCCGACCTCGGAGCGTACGGACTTGACAGTAGAGTCGCTTTGAAAAGAAAGGAGTAACCACGACCTGAGAACAGCGTTGAATTCAGTGTCCTCCTCTGGTCTGAACGTATTATTGTCCTAAGCCTGCATGAATCAGGTCCTTTGAACCATTGAAGTGATGCACAAACATGCTGACATAATGGCAGCCGTCTCTTTCTTTGTCTTTGTTTTACTGGCTTACAGGCCTTAAATACTGCTCTACCTCAAATATATGTACCAAACGGTCACCCGCCATCTCTCCAATCAGAGCATTCCTTTAGTCATTTAAGAAATACAGAGAAACACTTACCAGCAAAACATTTGGAGCAGAGGTTCATAGTCTCACTGGACCTGCAGAGAGAGGAGAGAGAAAGAACGTCAAGGACCTCCTCAGACTCCGGCTTTGCTCCACACGTTAACGGCCGTTTCCACACATCGTTATTTATGACACAGACCTAAAGATGCTACCAGGGCGTGGCAGACGAAGAGAGATGCTGGACACAAATGATTCACGATGATAAATCATCCGTTGAGACTTTTGTTCTCCGCCTGTGCCAGTTTCAGTGCGGCTCGACGTTAAACGTGGAAGAACGAATGAAACACGGCACGGCCTCGTAACAAACACCGGTCGCTTCCTCCAACATCTCACATGATAGTAATACATCACATCCAGAGCATCAACCATAACATCTTTCATAATCGCTTCTAACGTTTCAGCTCAGCGACCTTCTTCTCTTGTTTTGGTTTGTCATTCGAGGCCTTTGTCAATAGATCCCAGGTGGGACGACAGGAAGTCTCAAGAGGACCAGGAAGCAAATGGCTGGCTGTAAAAATCCACTTAAGAAGAAGCACACAGTTGTAATAAATCGGATTATTTTTACTATACTGTTGTTATGGATTCATTTTCTGCACTGCTAGTTCCATGCAAAGTAGAAGAGACCAGGCCGTGTCCCGTCACACACCAGCGTAGGACTTCTGCACACACACACACACACACACAGTGTGCAGCTTTATCTATACTCTCACACGGGTCACCCTGCAGTTGTGATGTCGCCCACACACACACACACACACCTCTGAATATACAAACAATGCACGTGCCTGCAGGTGATAAGCCCTGAACTCAATCAGCCTGGAAGCGCTAACCACTCACTCAAAGTACAGCTGAGGCTGACATGGTGGAGGCCGAGGGTGACAAAGGCCAGCTAGAGATGACAGGAAGTACGGCTTAGTGCGATGCTAGCCGGGTCACATCTGACCACCAAGAGCCGGAGCCCGACCACGCGTCCTAAAGAGGCCCCCGGGCCTCTAAAGGCTCAGCTACGCTGCATGCTAGCGGCTGCCTGGAGGCACGGTGGGGGGGGGGGGGGGGGGGGGGGGGGGGGGGTTGGATGTGTAATGGATGTTTCACTTACAGAGTTAGGTCCTGCAAAGGCCTCTGTCAGTCACCTGATTCAGTCATGGCTGCACAGTGAGCCAGCCTACTTTATCAACAAAAACAGAGTATTTTTTTTTAACTTTTATTTTTGGTACCGTGGCAGAGAACCACACGGACACAAGGGGAAAGCATTGTAGACACACAGATCAATAATGTCAACAATTCACGTTGAGAGCATCGGCGTGACGGGCAGTTGGATAAACTTGGAGACCTTCTTTTGAAACATTTGAACTTTCATGGTTTTGTTCCCCGGTGTCTTCTCCGCGGTACCGTCTCCGACAGGTGTGCCGGCGTCTTTCCCTTCACCTTCTCTGGGGCTCTATTTAGAGCGTTCACGCCGCCACAATGCAGCCATTTTCTGTCAGCTGGGACTCGTTCTGATCACGGTAGTGAACAGGAGCTGTGAGCTGTGTGACTGATGCAGCAGGGCGAGCCTGTGCAGACCCGTCTGGAGGTGAGCCTTGTTCACCCGTGTGTCACCGAGACGTCTCGTCATCTGTAGAGTGGATTCCCATGAAGTTTGGAAAAGCAGCAATTGATGAGACCCCCCCACCTCTCCCCCAAATCTGTCACTGTCATACTGGAGGGACTTCAAAAAGGTGCTCCTACCATTTCGTCCACCCCCCCCAGCCTCGACAAACTCAACACATGACCAACTAACCCTGAACACGAGAGACTCTTTGACGTATGACACGGCACACGTGGACCTAATGAACCGGAAACGCTGGTGTTAAATCCTGACATGCCGGTTTCTACCCATCTCCTTGTTGAAGTATCGTGCTCATAATTAAGAAAGGATTCGTAAAAAGGTGTTCAGCTTGGCGCCGAAGATGTCTCGTCTCTGAACAAATGGCTAGACGGTGCAGGTTTGTTATAGCAGCTTTATTACTATTATAATCAGGGTTCATGACCATTAATGTCCACGAACTTCACACAACTTTGAGGCATATTTTCACGACCGAACAGTCTCCTAAATGCTAAATCCTACATGACAAGTAAGACTACATAAGAGTCTCACCCACATGACTCGTAGGCGGGGCTTGATATCGGAGTTTTTTTAGCAGCTGAATTGGTTCCTCCTTTGATGGAATAGAGGGAAGAACTGCCGCTGGCTGGTTTGTCACCGGGATGAAGAATCCAGTGACGGGGGGGAGGGGGGGTTGACAGTTGATGCAGCAGCAGGCCGGTGCTTAGCTCCATTAGCACGGCTAGCTAGCGCCCCATCGGCCATGTTGGAAATGTCAAAAGTTTTTGACACACGGTGGATCCTGGTTTGTCCTCCAGCCGTGCCTTCTACAGTTACTAGTCCAAATGGAGATGCAACTAATCGCTATTTCACTGAGCAAATTGCACAAATTTACAAAAAAAAAAAGTTGACTCTTTCTATTGAGCAATTTTTGATCCAAAGTAAATATTTCCTCGAGCCGAGAAAAGTGATTTTTTTCAGAGCAATTTATAATATATAAAGAACTACCAACGCCAAGATTCTTTCTAAAATCAAAGCAAAAATGTAAATAAAAACAATAATTTATTGCCTAATAAACCAAAAGATTTGTGTGACTTTACGTAAATAACTTCTGTAGACGACAACAAAGTAAGAGCTGAACACTGAGAATCGTCGACTAGAAGACCTGACGGGAGTATTCAGTCACGCTGCCGACAGAAGTCAAACATGCTGAGGTGCTTTAAACACAACTTGTTCATCAGATAGCAGCATGCGGTGTGTGTGTGTGTGTGTGGGGGGCGGGGGCGGGGGAGAGAGACAAACACAGATAGCACAGAAAGCAGGCCTTTAACCTTCAACCGAGGCTGCAAGATTTTTCAATATTTCACACATTCGGCAACACCGGATACGTCTGTGACGGCACGAGACGACCGGGGAATATAGGAGCAGCAATACAGAAATACAGGCAGATCATTTCATTTTTTTAATTCTCAAAAGATCCAATATTAAAGGGGCTCTACGGCTAACCTACCGGAACAAATCTCACACTGATTTTTGATGCTTCTCAGGTAAACGTTCCAGTCGGATAACACATCTTCATCCACAGAGGAAGAACCAGTCAATCGCACCCGAGTGCTCTTTGAGCATGTCTGTGTACACCTGATCTTAATTTGCTTTTTTTAAACTGACAATAATTTCAATCTTTGTGGAAACTTTGTCACGCAACAAGTGTGAATATAAAGAAGAAGGGTTAGTGCTCTGAATTAAGCACAATCCTGCATTTAGAATGAATAAAAGAGCTATAAAGATCATTTAATCCTTCCAAATGTTAAATGTGACCTTACTGGAGTATCTCCCTGAGAGGCCTCGAGCTTCAGTGACATGTGTGAAGAGGCTGTGTGGGACGGGAGTGTTGCTGAGAGCCGTAACACACACACACACACACACACACACACACACACACACACACACACACACGTCACCTGACATTGACAGGTGGGCTACTGGTTCCAGTTTGCTTACTGGGCACCACAAAATGAAGGCAATTGGGGGATGGGGATGGAGGGAGGGAGTCGGTTCCCAAATGACAATCATATGACAATGTTCTGTAAAGATAATACCCCCAAAA